TTTCGCATGCGTTCCATGAGGCTATTTGCTTAATTGATAAACTGCATCAACGCCTGTGGATGAAGGCTTCATTGCTTGAATTGGAACAATTCATTGATTGTGAGTTTTAAGCCTACTTTGCGACGTGAAAAATCATGTTTTAAGCCCACTTGAGGGTGGAAAATCCGCGCTTTAGCCTACTTGCGAGTAGCATTTTCAAACCATTTTCAAAAACAAACATGAATCATTTTGTTCTAATTCTCGTGATTGAGTCTATACTTGTATACTGTGCGCATCACATAGTAAGTTAGCTAATAACCAGAATAAGAATACATGTGTTTATGAAACAACATATCATGTTAGTTGAGGCTGATCTTTGATCGGGCGAGCGGGGGTGCTCATTTCAAGACCTTCCCCTCTCGTACCCAAGTTCCCGAGCCGAGGCAACTTTGGTGATGACGGACACGTGGGCTTTGGCACGAGTCAGGGTTTTCTAAATTTTTCAAAAATAAAACATTTAGGTGGCGACTTTATAATCTAAAAAAGCAGTCCATGTTTAGCGCTTTTTTATTCAAAAATTGATTTTCCAAAACTAATTGCCAGATTTGGACTCTTTAGTGTTTATCAGTCTCACATTGCACTTTGTGAGATTAGATTCAAAACCGTGATAGGAGACCGAACTGTAGTAAGACCAATTCACACCCTCTCCGAAAGGGGGGCGCACAGAGAAAGTCGGGTGCTACAACCACAAGGTTTGGTTTAGAGTATATAGGCAAAGGCTTAAGAATTTGCAAGAGAGAGAGAATTGTAGAGAGAAATATTTTTGCTTCAAAATTTCCAACTCTCAAAAATGGAAGGGAAGGTCTTCTATTTATTGAAAAACATGAAACTCCCTCAGAAATATCCATACATACACGTGTGGGCAGATGTATGCACCAGTGGAAACAGCTGGCATAACTGACATAAATATCTAGAAAAACACACAAGTGGTCGGCAAGCCACTAACGTTGGCTGGCAGGCCACACAAATGGCCGGCAGCCCACACTAGGGGGCCTACAGGTCCCAGGGTTTTTAGGCTTGAAAAACTATGGTTTTGGTCCAAAACATGGCAAAAGGTGTGTAGCGTTTGAAGGCTCAAAGCTGTGGCATTCTACTCAGGACTTTAAGCACTTGACAAGCATATACAAATTCATCATTGGGTGCACAAGCGATGGCACCCAAATCATAAGGGTGGTCAAAAATGGGGTGTCAACATAGAGCTACTCTTGAGCTGTGGAAAGCTGGTGTGATCTGATAGAGGAGAGACAACTGATTGAACTGATTTAATATCCTCAACATCCCCCTACAAGCGAATAGGGTGATGCTGAAATTGCATGAGCTTGGCTTTGAGATATAAAGAACGAGATATTGAAAGAGGCTTAGTAAAGATGTCTGCCAATTTATCAATGGTGGGAATATACTGAAGAATCAACTTCTTAGCAAGAACTTGATCTCGCTCAAAATGACAGTCGACTTCGATGTGTTTGGAAGGAATGAAACACAGGATTAGATGCTAAAGCAATAGCAGAGACATTATCACACCAGAGAGTAGGAGGCACAGGAGAAGAAATAGATAGATCTTGAAAAAGCATACCAATCCAACCTAATTCAGCTACAGTATGAGCTAGAGACCTGTACTCTGCCTCAGTAGAAGATCTAGAAACTGTAGCTTGCTTTTTAGCTGACCAAGAGACAAGATTAGAGCCCAGAAAAATGTAGTAACCTAATGTAGATTTTATGTCAATGATATCACCAGCCCAGTTGCAATCCAAGAAAGAATGAACATCAAAAGTACTAGGAGAATAAGTCAGACCATGTGCAATGGTGCCCTTGACAAATCAAAGCAATCTTTTGACTGCAACAAACTGGCCAACTGTGGAAGAATGCATATGCTAACAAGATTGATTGACAACAAAAGAAATGTCTGGCCAAGTGATAGTTAGGTATTGGAGAGCACCAACTAGACTGCGATAAAGAGCAGGATCATGAAACAAATGATCTGCATTAGAAGGAACACTGGGCTTGACAGAAATAAGAGATGAACAAGGTTTACACTCAGCTAAACCAGCCTTTTTAAGAATGTCTTGAGCATATTTGGTTTGAGATAAGACATAGCTTGTAGGTGTGGTAGAAATAGAAATGCCAAGAAAGTAAGACAGGTCACCTAATTCTTTCATAGAAAAAACAGTGTGCATATGAGAGATAAGGGGCTGAATATGGGAAGGATTATTGCCTATAAGCAATATATCATCAACATAGACTAAAAGAATAGTAAGTGTAATGCCCAATCTCTGAATGAACAAGAAAGAATCACACTTGTTGTTATGAAAGCCCTAAGACAAAAGATAGGCTGAAAATGTGGAGTACCAGGCTTTGGGAGCCTGTTTCAAACCATACAAAACTTTCTTAAGATGACACACATGTTGAGGCTGAATTGAATTAACAAAACCAGGTGGCTGGAGCATAAACACGTCTTCTTCTAGAATACCATGAAGAAAAGCATTAGAAATGTCTAACTGCTTTAATGACCAGTTATGGTGAAGAGCCAAACAAAGCAAAATTCTGAGGATAGAAAGCTTTTCCACTGGACTAAAAGTTTCTTGAAGTCCACCCCTTCTTGTTGAAGATATCTTAGCAACAAGTCGAGCTTTATGCCTAGCAATTGACCTATCTAAATTCCTCTGAATTCTGAAAACCCATTTGCAACCCATGACATTATTATCTGAAGGTAAAGATACCAATGACCAGGTATACTGCTTTTGCAAAGCATCAAATTCTTCTTGTATAGCCTTATGCCAAATAGAGGAAAGAAGAGTTTCCTTATAAGAAAGGGGTTCAATATCAGCATAAAGATGAGGAGGCTAAGGATAAGTGTGAAGTAAACATTGAGAAGAAGACTTGGATCGAGTAAGCATATGATGCGCATTAGAAGTAGAGGAATAATGAAGAGGAAGAGGTAAATGAATAGAAATAGATAGAATAGGGACAGGAGAGGAATTAAGAGGAATAAAATGAGTATGAAGATAGGAGGAGACTAAATAGGAGTAGCAGACTGTGTGATATGTTGAATATAAGTAGTAAATTGAGAGACAGCAGCAGAACCAGGATTGAAGAAAGTAGGGCTCATAGAGGAAACAGATGTAGAAGAAGAAAAAGAAGAAGACTGAGAATAAAGAGATGGAGAAACAGTGGACCAAAAGAAGGATTGAATCTGAGGTAAGGAAATAAGAGGAGAAGAAAAGGTAGAAGAAGCAGTAGCAAAAGGAAAAATAAACTCATTGAAGATGACATGTCTGGAAAGAAAATTTTTACCTGAAGTGGAGTCAAAACATTTGTATCCTTTAGCAAATGGATGATAGCCAAGAAAGATACAAAGAAGATATTTAGGCTGAAGTTTATTCGAGGAGTATGGTTGGAGCCAAGGATAGCAAAGACAACAAAACACCTTTAGGAAAGAATAATTTGAAACAAGACTTCAAAAGGGGATTTGTGATGCAATTGAGTGGAAGGAAGTCTATTAATCAAGTAAGTGGCTATAGCTACAACCTCAAACCAGAATTTGAGAGGCACAGAGAAGTGATGAAGTAAGGAGATAGCTGTCTCTGTGATATGTCTTTGCTTCCTTTCAGCAGTGCTATTTTGAGGTGGAGTATATGGGCAGGAATGTTGGTGAACAATACCATGTGTTAGAATAAAATTCTTCATTTTAGCATTACAATACTCAATACCTCCATCTAAATAGTCGCCAATTGTTTCTCAGCTTAGGCTTTAAATTCTAGGAATTTGTCATAGACTTCACTTTTGTAAGATAATGGATATAACCAAGTGAACTTACTGAATTCATCAACAAAAATGACATAGTACTTAAAAGAAGAAGAGGAATGGAAAGGGCCCCGTACATCACTATGGATGAGAGAAAGGGGCTTATTTGCAGTTGAATTAGACAATTGAAAAGGAAGCCTATGGCTTTCTGCAACACAACAATCTACACAATCTTGACTAACACAATTAACATATTTGAGCTTCAAATGATGCTTTAAATGATTAAATTTCAATGACAAAGGTTGTCCTAATCGATTGTGCTAGTTAATAGCTGAATTAGGATTAGGTGTAGCCGAAGTAGTCATGTAAGCTTGTGACAAAAATGGATCAGATGAAAGGACAACATGTGGAAGAAAATGGTAAAGACCATTGATGTTGGTTCCCTTATGAAGAACCTTCTTGGTATACTTGTCCTAAACCACAAAGGTAGAAGCATAAAAAATAATAACACAATGATTATCCTGTGCAAGTTTTTGAACTGAAACCAGATTGGAAGAAATAGATGGTAAATGAAGAACATTGTTAAGTTGGAAGGAATAGTGACGAGTAGGGAGAATTCCATTACCAGTATGAGCAATAGGCACATAATTTCCATCGCCAATAGTAATTTGGTTGGCACCTTGATATGGTTGATAATAGGAAAGATTAGACAAATCATTAGTAATGTCACTACAACAAAAAAGGGTTTTTACAGTGCACAATGCACGCTGTAAAAACCCTTCTACGACGTGCAACGCACGTCATATTATGGGCAGTCATGGAAAGTCATTCACTTTCAACGGCATGCTTCGTACGCCGTTAAAAACTATTTAATGACAGATTTTGTACATCGTTGTTACTTTTTCTACGACATGCTATAGTACGCCGTTAAAAACTATTTAACGGCAGATTTTGTGTGCCATTGTTACTTTTTCTATGACTACTTTTGCACGCCGTTAATTGGAGAGACAAATAACGAAGCTAATTGCGCGTCGTAAAATATGTAATACGACTTATTATGCCTGTCGTAGAATATGCAATTTTTTTTTATTTTTAAATTCAGTAGGTTCCATTTGACTAATTTTGTACAATCTAACAAATATTACAAACAAATATCACAAAACATCAATCAACTACCAAAATATTATTTGAAACATCAAAAAGAAACTATATTCATAAATTATAAACATTCAACAATTGTCTATACATTCCAAACATTCGAAAACTATATCCTTAAGTTCTAAACTGTACAAAAAGTTTAAACCATCCAAAACTATGCATATCTAATTTTCTAATCGACAACTATTAAGACATTATCTAAAACTACCGACAACAGTTCCTATAGCAGTTGCAGCTGCAGCTATAGCAAATCCATTTCCTTCTATCACAGGGACAAGGGTGCCCAATGTATGTGTTAAGGCACCTAAACCCGCGACAATAGCTAAAGCAACTAACCCTGTTGCATTTCTTGTCTGTATAACAAAGGAAACTTCATATAAGTACAAAAACCAACGACTCAGGGACAAAAATATTTCTTGAGGTATTAAGAAATGATGGAGAAATTATAAAATATCAACAAAACATTTTCAAAATTAATAAGATAATTTAATGGCCCCATAAAGAGTCCAAGTCAAATTATAGTCTGTATTATTTACAAGTTTATCCATTACCTGGAACAATTCCCTTTTCCATAGCTGCTCTTGTTGCATTTAAAGCATTTGTAACCCAATCTTTCCTTTCTCTAATTTCTGCCTTGCTAGCCTTTCTAACCTGAAAGAAAAAGACTTGCAATGAAGTCATTAAAAAACATGCAATAATAGAAATTTAGTAAATATTTACCTTGAAAACAGCAACACCGCCAGATAGCTTTGACAATCACTCTTGTGCTTTCTCTTTGTCAAAAATAGCACTACTCTTCTCGATGGCGGCCCTTAGCTATTCAAACATATGAATTGTATATCATTAACATTTTTCTATGCAAATCAATGGCTTTTAGACCCTACATGATAACAGAAGAATTCTTTGTCTCCTCAATTAAGTACTTGAGAACATTTCTTTAGTAAAACCATAACTTTAATTAAAATCAAATCCAAGAAAAAAAAAATTAGTATCAATATTCAGTGCTGAAATTAATGGTTAGGAAATAGATTTCTCCCATGAAATGGGAAGTTTTAAACTATAAACATCATGTGTTGACCATGGGTATTAGAGGATAAGGCCCATCTTCCCCTATTAACTTTAAGTACTTCCTACTACGACCATTCAAATTTTGACAAAAAGATATGTCCTATCTAGCAGCCATGCCAAATCCATTTAAAAATACATAACTACTGGTTATGTTCAAGATTTCATTAACATATGCGCCTACAATGGTCAACCATAAGCAAAGTGCCGAAGGCACTTCCAAAGCATACACATAGCAAAACTAAAATTTTCCCTAAATTGAGTCCACTTCAACAATGGAATTGATTTATGCAAATATACTCCCAAGACATCAATGTAAATGGTCCATGATGCTGACTATATTTTCATGTAACAACATTGTCATCTGCCATACTTCAAGCCTTCAATGTATATTGTCCATGATATTGACTATATTTTTATCTAACAACATTATCGTCTCATCTACCAACCAACATTAGCTAATATTCCCATGGATACTTCATTGACATAGATGTGATCAAGAAATCAAGGTTAACTAACAGAGTTCCCCAGTGAAAATAACCAATTAAATCTCATAAACAAATTGGTAGTGCTTTACTTTTCCTTCAATAATACTAATGCCTTACTTCATTCATTCATGATTGGTCTTGTGTTAAAAAGGGGTACATGACAGATGACTACATCCATTTGTTTGTAAAAAGGCCTGTGAGAAGAGCTCCGATAATCAATCGTGGCATAGGTAAATTGCTACTAGAGATTTGAACTGACATACCAACATGATAAAGCTGCAGAAACAAAAAAATAGTAATAGATAATTTAAAAACAAGGATATAAACAAAGAAGTTGGTATACCATTCCAATTTCATAGGAGAACACACTGTGGGGTCACTCACCATAGCACTTCCATAGGTAGCACCAGATAGCACAGAAAGATAAATATCTTCTGATTGAGATGATTGTGAGGGCATAAGTACTGTGCTTAGCATCTGCAATAATGAATTCTGGATGCACATAACATAAGAAAGCAAGCAGGGTTAAGATTCTACTCCCCAAAAAAATTATATATATATATATAGACAGCAATGTAACACTTCTATTGGCCCCATAAACCATGAATTTAAGGATTTCTAAAAGACAATTGAGTAAAGAACCTACTTCCCTAGTCAGAAAATGATATAATCAGTAATTAATGAAGATGTCACTAGAATTATAAGAAACAGAAAACCAGAGCCAAAAAAATAAAATTGTAAGTCCGCATGCTCAACCCAACCACTCCTAGTTTCTGCCTCTTTCTGTGCCTTTTTTTGGACGGCGATGGTGATCGGCATAGTGGAAAAGCAAGAGATGAGTGCAGCGTAATGGATAGCATAAACTCCCAACCAACAACTACTACTCAGTAGCACAGAGTACAGCCGCAATGTCTATAGCAGCACAACAGTACAAGGGGCAGCATAGCGGATCAGCAACAAAGTAAAGCAATGCAGCATTTGTTCAGTAGAGTAAAAGAGCAGTAGCCTAGCAGCAAACTCAAAGCAACAGTACACAGCAAAAGATAATACAATATATCCCAAATTCAGCCCATAAGGAATAGCAGTCTTGTACTGAATACATCCTTCAAATAGATAACTAAAAGGCCAACTATGTACAATATCAGCATTAAAAAGGACACCAATAAAATTATCTGAGAACTACTTCAAAGATTGGCGCATTCTTGCAGCCTGGGCCTCTAAAAAATTCTCCAAAATTTAAATAACATAGCACAGCCCCCATCAGATCTATAATGAGCACTCCAGCACTATCTTTGAGCAGCAGTAGAATGGAAAAAACCCACCTACAAGAAGCTGAGCTTAGACCTGTAGTAGAAACCGCTATGTGAACCTCACTTACTTAAACCCCACAAAGATACAAAGACACGCAAAGCTCAACACACTGAGCAGAGAAAGGGATAAGAAAATGAATAAAAGAAAACCACTTCAAAAGTGTAGATCTCTCATTCACTCAACCCACAAAAAACATCTCTCTCACACACGGTACCAGCTCCAAGACCTGCAGAGAAAACAGTTAGCTTGTAATAAATCACAGCAAATGTGATAACAGACCTATCAACAAGGCTCACACAATATATGGTCTTACAAGCTCAACCCTCAGACACTCCCATCTCAGAATGAAGGAACAGGTTAACGAGAGAAACAACATGAAAGGATAACAGTAAGCCAAAAAACAACACACTTTGAAAATATAGCACTCCCATCACTCAACCCACAACAAAAATTCCTTATACAATGTGTATACCAAGAACAATCAAACAACTTCTCCAAACAGATACAAGGCCCAAAACCTTTCCATAAGAAAGTTACAGCCCAGACAAACCTGCATAGAAGAGTTAGAATTATAGGAACTTACTTCACTCAACCCTTAGTCTCACATACCTCCACTACCTAATTTTGGACTCACAGTCACTCAACCCTCTATCCCTACCATAAGGCCAGCTTGGCAACCTGTAAAGATCAGATATGGAAGAGATTAAGAAGCAAAAAACCTTCTTTTTTTTTTTTGGAAGCTAACACTCTATCAAACTAGAATATGTAGGGCTCACCACACTCAACCCACAAAACCTTCTAACACTCCACACACAATGTCTTAGGTATATAGCAGCCATATAGTGTAATCCCACCTGCAAAGACAGAACATACATATAGCAATTCTCAATGTGGTGGTTGTTTTGAATTTTTTCCCACATAAATTTGAAAGAAATTAAAGAGACTTACCTAATACATGGTGATGGAACAAACTAAAACAAACAAAGAGGGAACAAACAAAACAACCTATTCACATTAATGTGCTTGGGAAGGGAAAGCTTAGTTACATGCCTAACATTATTTGATGTTTTGTCTTATAAAAGAAACCTAATAAGAAAAAAATTCAGGTTTCCGAATTTAGTGTTCTTGGCTGTTCAAAACAAAAAATAAAAAATTAGTGTTCTTAAGGGAAAGTTTTCCATTCCAAAACACAAGTACCAAAATGTGGATTCCTAGAAGACTTCTATTTTATTTGTTTAGCTTCAAGACATCTATTATCTTTAGAACACCAAAACTATGCATGACAAAAAAAAAAAAATAAATAAAAATAAATAAAAAATCTCAGATATCAAGATGCCATTTTACTCACCCAGTATTTCAACATCAAAACCAACATTTAACCAACATTTGCATCGTGAAATGTTCAATATTTTTAGCGGCTAGTGTACACCTGTCGTGTATAGTTGATGTATTAACGGCATGCCACATGCATGTCGTAAAAAGTTTTATTATTTACGGCTAACATTGCAAGCCGTAAAAAAATCATCATTATTAACATTTACGGCCTACGCAATAGACACGCCGTGATTAGAAAATTATTTACGACATGCAAAAAAAGCAAGTCATAAAAGTGAGAAACCACGGCTTGCATTTACTGTATGTCGTTAATGTAAAGCCGTAAAAACTCAGTTTTGTTGTAGTGTGTGATTAGTAGCAGCAGAATCCAAATTCCATAGACCTGTGAAAACAAATGAAGAGGCATCAGAAGAGAAGGCAACAAAAGCTCTCGGTGTAGAATTAGGCATAACATGAGAAAACTGATAATGAGAGTCCATTCGATGCCAGCAATCAAGAGCTAAGTGACCAACTCTACCACAAATCTAACAAACTGGAGAAGATTGAAAATGAGAGGGGGAATATCTTCCTCGGCCTCTAGTAGAATTGCTAGAGAATCAACCATTTCCTTTATAAAATCTGCTTTCTCTACCACCTCGAAAAGAGTTTCGACCTCTAGATTGACCAAAAGCATGTCCTCTAGGTTGAAAATGTGTAGAAGATTGAGGAGAAAAACTTTGGCTAGGGAGAAAGCAACTGTTGGTTCTAACAATTTCTTAGTCTTTGCATCCATATGAACTACTTCAGAACAAAAGAAAGAAGACAATTCTTCCATTGAGATAGCACCAGATCTAGCTCGGATAGTAGTTTTAAAGGCATCAAACTCATCTAGAAGACCATTCAAAGTTAACAAAACAAGATCCTCATCATCAATAACCACTAATGCAAGAGCCAACTGATTAACTATCTCTTTAATCTTTGAGAGATATTCTTCCATGGAATTAGATTTCTTAACAATAGAGTTCAATTTATTCTTGAGCTGATGAATATGTGATCGTGAAAGGGAAATGAATTTCTTATGGAGTGCAAACCAAACTTCAGCACAGTGATGAAATTGAAAAATAGTTGTCATGTCCCAAACTCACCCCTATAGGTTTAGCGTCGTAACCAGCCAGTAATCCTTGGATTACCAAAGGCCTCTTAAAATATAACGTATAATTAAGGGCTGCGGAAGCAAATAACAATTATACAACATCCATTGAGTTGTGCAGACTTATATGAGAAAGAAAAATTTTAAACTTTATATACATACATATACACATCATCATATATATACAAGATACACAAAGACTTGTCTAGCTGAACTGGAAAACAAAACTTCAACTTATGCACTTAGCCATAGCCAGTAAACATGTCCGGAACCTCCACGGGAGGCACATAGGTTGGCTGTCAAAAACTGATTCCAGGCGCCTTGAAGCTTGGTCACGCCCTGATCACCTACATACGTACATATAAACAGTGAGCTGATGCTGAGTGAATAATAACAAAGTAAAGACTTTAATGAATGATGTCCATAACTTGTCTCATGACAATTCAGGATCATAAATAGATAGTGAAATAGAATCATAGTCTTGTCTGTCCATAACTTGTCTCATAACAATTCAGGATCATACACAGATAGTGAAATAGAATCATAGTCTTGTCCTTATTCAATCATGTGTGGTACATCCATTAACTTAAACATGTCTCTTTGGTCAAGCATATCAAGTTCCATAAAGGAACCTCCGGTACCGGGTAACATATCTCATACATCGGCCACGGTATTATTTTCCCCGGGCGGGGGCCTGAGCAGCGGTATTGTTTCCCCCAGGCGAGGGCCTGGGCCACGGTATTCTTTCCCCCGAGCTAAGGCCTCATGACCATAAGCTACAGTATTATGTCCCCTGGGCGAGGGCCTCTGCTAAGGATACCACAATTACATTTCAAAGAAAATTGGACAATCATTCATTCATACAAACATAGCATTTCAGAAACTCATCATCTCATATCATTAGAAAATAATTAAATTAAACATAACTTTACAGAGTTATTACTCACAGATAGTAGCAGAAGCAGATCAAGCAGACAATAGCGCGTGACCTACACAAACACATAACATATACGCATTGAAGCACAATATTACTTCCTTGATCAAACTTGACTTTCTTGTTTTCTGTCTAAATAATTCGAAGGTCCACTACGCTTATTCTTTCTTTAGTCCAATGAATCGGGTTCTCATTTCGCAAACCCCTTTTATTACTAAATCATTCTTTTCTGAATAAACCAATTCTCACTTGGCTTCTTAATCAAGTAGTACTAAGTTAATGACTTATTCTTTTAATCAACTAATTAATGTTGATTGTTAACTTATTGATCTTTATTGAGCCATAAATCATGTCTAGAATGCTTTGGAAAGATATGAGAATAAAAATGTGAACTAAATGTAATTTTTCAAAATATGCTGAAAATAGGGTCTTCGCTCGAGCGCCACTTTAGTCGCTCGAGCGGACTATAGAATTTGAAAAACTTCTGGAAGCTCGATTTTCACGCTCGAGCGAGACTTTCCTCGCTCGAGCGAACAACATAAATTCTGGAATTTCCATAATTGTAATTGAAGTTCAAATTTAGTTTTAACTCATTTTCTTTATATCAAACCCACAATATTAAAATATGAATTAGACTTTCCAAACTCTTGAAATTACATTACATGCATGGGTTAAAAATCTAATTATAACATCAAAACTTTAGGATTAATTCCAAATTTCCATAAACTTGATTTTCTTAAAATATTTCTTTTATCTCTTCAAAATATGAACTTGAATGGCTCAATTCCCTTAAAAACTCATGTATCACTAGAAAATACCACAAAATCAAATCAAAAACAATTAATTTTCCAAATTAATTTCCACAACTATGAGTCTACTTAATTTCTTACTTAAAACCTTATTTCTTACAAAATCCATGAGACTAATTCCATTAGTTCATGATGCATGAAGGATTTTCTAAAACATGAAATTAAAGTTATAAAACTCTAAAAAAAAATATTTGCATGTGTGAAATTAGGATCAAAATTCAAACCAATTACATCCAAAATTTCTTTAATTCAATATTAAGTTCAAAATGTTCATGAATTCATATTTCCCCAAAACTCGCTCTTCTTATACCCAAACATGGAACTAACCCTTCAAATCTTTTAAACATCTAAGATGCATGTACAATTAGAGTATTGAGACTTGTAAAGTTTGTTCATGCATGTAAAAATTTGACTCAAATTCATGCATGGTATTCCAAAATCAAACCCAAAATAATTAATTCCTAAATTTACTCCATAACCATGAATCTAATTTAATTCCATCATCTTCTTGCTAATACCCTTTTAATTACATGAAATTGAGCCAAACTCATCTTTAATTCCAAGTGTGATACAAGGATTCTACAAAAATCAAGGTTGAAATCCTTACCTTTAACCTTCAATGGCTGAATTTCTTTTTAATTCCCTGAGTTCCCTCTCTTATCTTCATTTAGATCTCTTAAACCCATTTCTCCAAAGCTTTTTCCGGCATAATGGTTGGACTTCTCTCTCTCTCGGTTCTTCTCTCCCTCTCCAAATCGTATTCAACAAAACAGTTTCTGAAGAAGAAAAAGAGTAAGCCCACTTCTTCACTTGAAATTGGCACCACATATACACAAACCCACTTCCTGATTCAACACTATTCACACATGCGCAAGGTTCCAATACTAAAAGATTAGAAGGCTCTAAAATTAACTAAATTACTAATTTATGCATTGACTTAATTAAACCCCGCTTTTCTCTTAATTAATTATAATTAACACTTGATTAGTACATAATTTAATTAATCACAATTAATCAAAATCCCACATAATTTACTCAGTCTAATTTGACTTCATTAAAGCCCAATTAATTATATTTAATCTTTATCATTCTGAATCTGATTTTTAATTAAACTCCCAAAAGGCTTCAAATATTAAATTAAACTTATTTCCATCCTCGATTTTAGTTTCTTAAATCATTTAAGCCTTCAATTTCTAATCAGACTCAAAATGTTCGTCAATAAATTACATATTCAAATTGGGCACTCCATAAATAAATTTAATTCATAATAATCACAATTCTCCATCCTCATAATTTAATTAACTTAATTAACTCCAATTTGGATCTAATACTAAATTGAATCGGATATTTAATCAAACTCCCATATAGTCCGAAACTTGAAATTAAACTAAATCAACTCATAAATTTTACCTCCTTAAGCCATTTGGACATTCAATTTCTAATTCCAAAATAAATCTTTAATAGAATCATATACGAGTCAGATTCCACAATTCTCATAAATTCCAAATTAAATTATAATACTCGACAATTAAATTTCAAATTCTCTTAATTAACTAAGTACTAATCATTATACGTAGTAGGGTCGTTACAATAGTTGAGTAAATGGAAGGAGATAATGTAGCAATAAGACAACTCAATAGATGTGCATCAATTAAATTCCATGGAAGAAACTCTGGATTAGCAGATTCTATACTAGTGTCATCAAAGATTACAGAAGAAGGCCAAGAACCAATACCATCAACATAGCCAAGAAGATTGGTGGCTCGAAGAATGTTAGAGATATGACTTTTCTAGATGATAAAATTTGTTGAATCCAGCTTGACAGTAACAAATGAAGACAAATTTGAGATCAGAAGAGTCAGATTTGATGGAATTGAAGAAGACAAAGAAGCAGTGGTGTAGCTTGCTTTTCGTGCTCCTTTCGGATACAATTAGCCCTACAGTTTGGACTCCTATGGTTCTGAATCTGATTCCACAAGTGCAATGTGAAATAAATAAACACAAAAAGAGTCCAAATTTGGAAATTCTTTTTGGAAAATCGATTTTGAATAAAATGCCAAAAATGAACTACTTTGCCAGATTACAAAGTCGCCACCTAAATATTTTTGAAAAATTTAGGAAACCCGAGACCCGTGCCAAAGGTCATTAGTCCATCATCACCAAAGTGTCTCGGCTCGGAAACTTAGGTATGAGAGGGAAATGTCATGAATTGAGCATGCCTCTCACCCGATCAAAGATCGGCCTCTACTAATCATGATGCTATTTTTATTTACATTATATGCTCTTGTTTCAGTTTATTAGGATATCTTTATTATGTGATGCACGTAAGTATAGACTAATTTGAAAAAGTTGGAACATTTGATTTCATGTTTGTATGAAAATTGTTTTTGGCACTCGTCAATTGAAAAGGTGAATTCGTACATTAATCAATTTATCTCAATTTCAGCAATTAGCCTTCATCTACCAGCATTCAAATAAGTATATCATGTAAGCAATGAGCCTCATGGAAAGAATACTCGAGATGGCAACAATCAATGCAATGCAAGATGATAAAACAATAAACGCTCACCTAGTACTCCAAGGCAAGCCAAACAAAGCAAAATTATTAGAAAACACGCATGCTTCTAAAAAAATGCGATATGACTAATGCAACGCACGCATTATGTAATTTTATATGCTCGGCAATGAGCATGGACTAAATCCCGTATTTAAGCAATGAATTTAAAATCGACATTGGTTAGTATGATGAGTCGAATCTAAATATACATGAGATGAGTGTATACAAACATGGGAATGCTAAGTAAATATGATGCTCTATGCTACCATCATAAGCAGGTAAATAAAAGGGAGAAAGAAATGGAGTTGGAAGACATACACGCTTATTACACATTTGCCCTAATGCAAGAGGGTCCAAATCAATGTCTGAGTGTCCAAGTGTCCGGTAATTAAGCTAGCGATTACAAATTCGAATGAATACTAAGTAATAACTAACCAACTATCTAAATTATTACAACAATGAGATTAACAATAAATATTACAATCAATTACAAAAAGCATAATTATAACAATTATATTTAAGATAAATAACAATAAGAATGCACAAAGATTGTATACGCGTTGATGAAGATAGTGTTCAAAAACTGCTCTATCTACCTAGACTGCTCTGTTTCATCCTCAACCACGGCCCTCCTGTTTTTTCCAAACACTCTATTTTACCAAGCATTGGAGCCCAGCCGGCCCCTAATGAGGCCCGGCTGGGTCCAACTGAGGCCGGTCGTGCCCTAGTTTCTTGCAAAAATCTATTTTTGTGCTCTAGGGTGAAAATAGTGTAGACAGAGCAACTTTAAACCATATTTGTCCCTTCTGCTCCCCTCTATCATGAAACTCAAGAGAAGAGTGAACTCGAGTTCGAAACCGTCAATAGGCACAAGTTGATGGCTTGACGATTTCGAACACAATTTGGACAAAACAATTAATAAATGCAATGAAGACAACTACCCCTCCATCTCTTCATGGAGGCTCAAAGAGGGAGATAGACACACCTCAAGTTTCGTCAAAATATCATGAATTGATAAGTGACAATTCTCAAAGCAATGGACTTGGCATAACGTCTGACCAAATCCGATCAATTCTAAATAATTTCTTTGGGTCGGTTTCATTGATTTTAGGTCAATTTTTATTAGTCCTTTTCATTACTTAATCAATTTGTCCAATAATGAGAGTTACGTCCACTAAAAGGAGAGAAGCGTCAAATGAGAAGTTGTTTTCGACATTAGAGAGATGTAATGCCTGGATAATGAACCTCCGAAGAGATTAAACCATTTAGCATTGTAGGTGTCTTTCTCGTGTTTAAATAACACTCTGTTGAAAAAACTCTCAAAGAAAAGGAAAACCAAGAAAGGAGGGAGGGTGCATAAATGATTATGCAAAGTTGATTATTACAATGAAACTCTTGATATGAAAACCAAGTAAACAAAGCTATCAACCCGAATAACTCGGTGTCTAGGGCCTAAACAACCGAAGCCATGAGGACTTACAACAAAACAAGCAAAGTATTCAAAGCATTAACTATTTAGATGAATTAAAACAACCCTAAAACAGCCCCTAACATGCAAAAAACAGTAGCTAAAACATGTTTAAAAGAGCATAAAACAAAGCCAAAAGCAAGGAGGTACAAAGCTAGTAAGCAAGACTAAGGAGGGGTGGCTAACCCTTCCATTTTTTACAACTTCAAATCACATATTTTAGCCTCTGAAAATAGTCCAAAAATAGTCCAAAAACAGCCCAAAAAACAGTGGCTAAAATCAGAGAAATAAGTGGGAAACACAAGGATATAAGCTTGGAATAAGGTTCAAGAAAGAGTGGTTAACCCTTTCACCCTTGATAGCTTTTAAATCACAAGTTTCAGCCCACAAAAATAGTCCAAAAACAGTGTATATAGCAAGGAAAAAAGAGGAAAAGAGTAAAAGAGAAATAAGGAAGAAGATGCAAAAGTTATACCTCTTGAAAAAGAGGATGCTCTTAGTTAACAAACTTAATTTCAAACACCCTCAAGTTTATAAAATATGGTTTGAAACTTCAACAAAAAGCTTCAAGAACAAGCTCTAATGGTGTATGTATTGTGTATGTATAGCTAAAGAAGGTTTGAAGATCAAAGGAGGAAGGAAGATGGTTTTAGCTCTTAATATCATTCAAAGCCTTTAGGAAAATCTTCGAACCTTCAATCCTGAATGCAGGGGGTCTATTTATAGAATTTGAGCCAAAATGGTCAAAAATATCTTCAAAAAACAATAGTTGGCGAATTCCCGCCAGCTGTCTTGTTTTTCGCCATTGAGACCCAGCCGAGCCCAAAAACACACATCCGAGCCTAAAAAGCAAGTCTGGTAAAGCTTTCATTGAGACCCAGCTAGGTCTAAATGAGGCACGACTAGTTCTAAATAGACCCGGCAGGGTCCAAAAGACTTCTCTCCAGGCCCAACTTCAAATGGGCATATCTTCCTCATCCAAACTTGGTTTTAGGTGATTCTTGGATCTAAACTGAAGCCCTAAAGTCTACTTTCCAATGGTAGTGGTCTCACATCTAAATTCTAAGTGTTTAGAGAGATATGCCTAATTTAGTGAAGGATGTTCATTCTTTCTCAACAGTTTGATGCCCAACCTCTTTCTATACTAGTTTTCTTCCCTCCCCTCCTATTTCCTTCAACTTTAAAACTATAAATAAGATGTTTTAAATATTTTTCAAAGAGTTCACCTCCCTTCCATGTATTCCCACTTTATCCTTACTCGGTTTACAGAAAGTGTAATATTTTAAACGAAATGCGACCCTCGGAACATCATAGAAACATTTGAAAAAATATTTTGAAAAAGAGGGTTTTAAGGTCTAAAATAGTTTGGCCAAAATGGGGTGTAAGGTTTGGAATTAGAGCTTGAATCCAAATTTTTTCGCTGAGAATGCAAAAGATTTCATAGTGTAACTTTAATCATCGGGTATTTGGACTAAAGCGCTCAAGTCTTAAAGGTAGTCAAAAATGGGGTGTCTACAAGTGGTAACCATAGTTATCTTGCTCGTGAGGGCTTTGAAGCTCTTATACCAAGTAAAAAATATGAGTTTATTATTTTTCTTAACTGCTCAATGATACAGAGTATCTTATTTATATTACTCATAAAATCTATACAACAAATATGTATATAATATTATAACTAACTAATCTAACAAACTAGCAAGTGTGCTAATGACTTGCAATAGAACCCGTAACAAACTTTCTAACCACCATAGGTGTTGATAACAAAGTAGTTGAACTGCATCCAGAGCTACTTCGACTAGGAATTGATATTGAGGGGCTGCTTTGACGCTGTG